GAAGATTATATAAAAATTCATTATTTTTCTTGGAATTTCTACTCTTCCAGTAAGATTTTGTAAGCGCTACCGGACATACTATTATACGTAACAAAAAGAACTTAATAGTAATTAAAAACTGATAAGTAGTAAATAAATAAAGTAAATAAATAGTAAATAAGTAGTGAATAGTATTCTGAAAATTCAAAAAACGATCATGTTTTGAGAAATTTGTACTGAAACGGGTTTCGTCCTTGATCTTTCATCGGTCGAGATCGATTTGACGGATAAGTGCGTTGTAGTGAATGCCGATGGACGACTTCTGGCAGTTCGCCCTATGTCGTTGAAATGATTTATTTCCTTTTTTGTCTACTGACTACTTCTGTCCATGCTTCTTACTAATCTAATCATCATCTTCTTCAGGGTTAATTTTTTGCACTCTGTCATCCTGTCAGCTTCTTTTAAACGCACTTTTTTGATAAAGAACTTCTCTTGGAAACATGAACTTTTCAAAACAAGCAATTTCAGGAGTTTTGATTCATTTCACCAGTAAGAAAGGTTTCTTTCGCCGTAGTCCAAAATAGATAGAGTTACTTGAATGAAATACAAGATATATTTTTCTAAAATTATTTGAGTCGCTGTAGCCATTCACGATAGACGGGGATGAACTATTTTGACATACGACAACTTATCATATTCTATTTTTACCGTATTTTTGTAGTTCTGATTGCTGTCTGCTAACAGAAGTCTTCGTTTCTATTGGGTTTTGCAAGCTAAACTAGCCACATTCACTATCGATACGATACTACCGATATCTATTTATATCAATCTTCTTACAACTCGAAATCGCATTGAGTGATTTCTCGCCATGCTGCTAACCAACAAGTAACTCAATGTTTTTGGCTTTTATTGTACTCCTTTACCTATTTTTTATTTATTCTTTGAAATCTGACCATTTAAATCAAATGTTATTCAGTGATTAATGTTTCACTACAAAGTCAACAGGACGGTGTCTCTTTTTCGCGTTACACTTTTCATGTGTTTTATTTTTTAATTTTTTGTAATTCGTTAAAAAAGGTGAATGTACATGAATTTCGCCGTAAAGTTGAGAAGTATTTGGGCAAATGGACTATAAGAATGAATTCGTCACGTTTTTCTGGCATTCCAAATGTTCTTTGGGTGATCCAGTAGTTCTCAATGTCAATGGTGTCAATAAGCTCTTCATTGGATTTTAGATTGATGAGAATGCTTTCACTTTCGCTTTCATTATTCATGAGCCGTTGTTGCTTTTGTTTGTTTGTTTGTTTATTATTATTACTATTATTATTATTATTATTATTATTATTATTACTATTATTATTCCTGATCTTAAAAGAAGTAAGAAGTACAGATAGTTGAGGATGAAAATGGTGTGAGAGTCTGATCGTCGAAGGTCAGTTATTATCGGCAGACAGGCTGCCAAGTTTGATATCTCTCTCGACAGCAGTCAGCCGACAAAAAAGAGTGCATGAGAGCAAAGATAAGGTTCCGACTGAGTTGCGGGGTTACGAAGAATTCTTTTGAAGAGCTTGATAAGCTATTCGCCGTCTCGTTCAGCGGCTGGTGTGACATTTAGTCCGACAACTCATCGTTCTGCCCTTTGATACTTCCAGCACAAGTTTTTATGCAATGCAAAGTTTATTGAAGGATGTCTATGCTGTTTTTTGAGTTATTTTTTTGGTTGATGGCATAGGTTTATTTTTGCCCGAGCTGATTATAGAGGCCTGTTTAGCTTGAAGCGAAGATGCAGCATGCAAACTACTCACTGGATCTCTAAGATTGGTCACACTATTAAGAGTAACGTCTTCTGACGTTGATCAAACCCCTTGCCAGATGCGGCCACGCATTTGTCTTCCATTCATAATCGTAAAGGCATATGTAGCCTGCATAATAAATTCCAGCTGCCAGCCATTGTGAAAGCCAGTGTCTCAAGCTCCTAGACGGGCCTGGTACCGA